ACAATGACAATGAAATCTCTAAGCCAAAAGTAATCTGAATAGATGGAGTGGCTAGGTTTGATTGTTGGGAATGAATGTATGTGAATGAAATGAAATGAATTAAAATAAAGTTGTGAATTCATAGAGGGGAGGTAATTATAAAGAGATGAGAGACATGAAGTAATAGATGGATAAAAAATGATGATTGAAATGATAAAGATAATCAATTCTCATCCTTACCTATTCATCACCCAATGATTTTTACTTATCTAATAATGCATTCTCCTATTGCTTTTCCTTCATGATGTGTGTCTGTGTGTGACTAAGGGGCTATTAGAAATGGCATCCAAGAAGGTTCCAGGCTAGGTGACAACCTGTGGCAACTAGTTAAAGAGACAAGAAGGGGTTTCATTTAATTATTTAAGTTAACATTAAAAGAGGCAATGGGACAAGTGTCATTTCTAATTAACTAACTTGTTCATAATAGCTTTCACACACTTCTCCAAGTGAAGACATATAGGTACATATTTGAGACAGGCTCTACCAACTTGAGCAGTTGCATTCGACAACACACACACACACACACACACACACAATTCAGTTGCATTCTTTATTGAATTTATCTTTTTCTTTTTTCTGTTGTTATGGCCGGAATTTATCTTTTTCTCACTTCTCGTTGTTCGCACACACATACCCTACCACCTACCTACCTCTAGATCATGCAAATTTATGGTTGAATGAATTCTTATATCCTCTCTACTGTATTGATACAAGTCAATCTTTATGTTTCTTTTTCATCTTTTGGCTTTGAAACGTTCCACCCAACAATCCGGACTCTTGGACTTACCACCTACTCCCTCCATTTTCAAATATTTTTGTAAGAGATTTTCAAACAACTCACATAATTAAGGTTAATCATAACAATAATTATGTCTGGAATTGAAATATTTAAACTAAAATATCCTTGTAATTAATGTTTACTTTCTTCTCTAATTTAATAATATACTATTCATTTATGAGGTATAATTTGAGAAAAAAATATAATTAATGTTTCTTGAAATTTATAGTTTTGTTTATAATAAAACAACAAAACATAGGATAGTTCTCTTGAATTTAAAAACGGAGGGTATATATCAACAAGGCAAGCATTTTTCATGGAAAACAAGCTTGAAACGGATACCAAAGTTTGGGTACTTATATATAGGGCTTGTTTGATTTCTGTTCTCATTTTTATTTTTAAAAATAGTTTTATAATATAGTTTTTCAAAATCATTTTTAAAATAAAAATAAAATAAAAATTCGTTTGGTTATGTAATTTAAAAATAGTTTTAGAGTTAAAAAATGAACTAATGGTGATGATTATGGGCAGTTAATGATGGTAATTAATAATAAAAATTAGTCAATGTAACTATAATTTTTAATAATTAAATGTAATATATTTTAAAAATAAGAAAAATGAAATGAAAACAACTTAAAATTGTTTATATTTTTTGTTTTTTAAAAAATGAAAATAATTTTTGGAATAATTAATTAAAAAACACTTATCCAAATAAATTTTAAATTTTTCTATTTTTAAAAATAAAAAATAATTTTTAAAAACGAAAAACAAACACTCCCATAGATTGGTTTTAATTTTAAGAAATTGTGTTTTAATTTCTGTACAGAAAGTTCAGCTCCAATATTTTCACAGACTAGTAGAACCATTACGTGGATGCCACCTTGGCTCTCCTCTCGCCACAAAGGCAATCACACCGTCCCCGTCGGCAAGAAGCGGTGAAGCTGCTGCGGAAGAGGAGTATCTTCATTTTTTTTCCTCCATTTCTCCCATCCTTACTGTTTAAATAATTTTTTTAAAATAATAAATTAATGAATGGTGGGAATGGGAGAAGTGAAGGAAAAAAAGTGGAGAGACTTTCTTCCCAGCTGCTGCGGATGGTGCGATGAATGATGAATCTGCCAATTAAGTGAAGGGCCGAACAGAAGCATAAGGGCACCAATTTGGGCCTGTTTTATGGGCCCAAACAACTTGGACCTCAGAACCTATTCCACTTCACGGAGCTTCCCAAACTTGAGGCCCACTTCTGCTGGATGGCCCAAGTAGTAAAAAGCACATCGAGGAATTGGGGATACTAAAAATAGTACGATGTCTTTGTCTGTGGCCCACAGAGATAATTAAAAGGTGAGGCTAACGCTAAGTAGCTAAACAAACCAATCATTCCTTTATACCAAAAAAAGAAAAACGAATTATTCCCGTTGCTTCTGGGCATGACAACATAATGTATGGTTCGTGTTGCTGACCAATGGAGAGGAGTGAGCCTAGAAACTTCATATTAGGTGCTGACGCGTCGTGCCACTTTCTTTCTTTTCTTTCTTTCTTTTGTTTTTTTTTTGGGCGCTAACTCTGACTCGTTTTTTTCTTTGGCTACTAATGGTTAGGACTATTTTTTCCAGACATGCATAAATTAACATTAGTTGTCTTCATGGACATCCATCTATATTTTATTTAAATAATATATTAAAATATTAAATAATGCAATTTTTATGATTATATTTGGTATAAAATCTAAATACTGCCAACGGATGTTGGTCTAAATTCTTATACTTTTAAGTATATTTTGTTATTAGTGTCTATATTTTTCTTTTTGCTCCAAGTTCTCTGAGTTTAAGTTTTATTGTCTCCAACGTTATACAAAATGTTGGATCAATAACATAAATTCAAGTTTAATAGTATTCGGGTTTTGTTTTATAAAAAAAAAATTATGTGAGTTGAGTTCCAAAAATTGAAGTAAGTTTAAGACATGCTTCCAAATTTAAATAGCTTATAGAATATTTACGTAATGTCTACCAGCTAAGTCTCCAAATTAGTAGTAAATTTAAACTTATGATCTTATAAATTTTAGATCAAATCCTTGTAAATTGGATCAATTTTTATCTGTAATATTTGGCTTTTATTTCAAATATAATCATATAAAATTTGCATTTACTTAATATGTTAATATATTTTTAAATATAATATATGATGGGTGCTGATATTAATTCATGCCTGTCTCAAAAAAAAAATCCCAACCGTTAGCAGCCAAAAAGGCCAAAAAAAAAAAAAGGGACTCAGAGCAAGGGCACTCAAAAAAATGAAAGTGGCATGACGCATCGGGACCTAATATGAAGTTTCTAGGTCTCACTCATCACCACTGGTCAGCGACAACCAGCAGAAAACATTGGCCATTGGATCAGATTCAATAAAATAAACGGCCAGGATCTAGACCGAGATACAAAACAGGATGCAAGAACCAGGAGAGGTTCCGTGCCCGAATCGGGCTCCGGCTTGAAATTTCTCGTTTTCTTTTCCTCCTTTATTTTTTTTCTAAATCATTTCGATTAATCCATTAATATTGATATAAAAAATATAATAAATAAAAATGTGTAAAATTTTAAATATATTTTTATATAATAAATTTAAAAAATGATATTATGCTTTTTTTATGAAGATTAATTTCAAAATATTTTTAAAAAAATCATATTATAATTTATAATAAAATTAAATAATTTTTTTAACATAACAGGATCGGAGGAGTACGTTCAAGAGAAAAAAAGCTAATTATGTTGATTTTTGATTGGTCACTGCTTTCCACTTCACGGGTTCAACCCAACACTCGCTCGTCTCGAACACTTTCATAGCCGACAAAATTTTCTCCTCTCGACACGTGGACTCCGTCATTGCCATTCATTCAAACAAAACAATTCTCACTTTGGCGCTTTAACCAACCATCACCCAGATTATTAGACATAGTCAAGGACGCTGGCGTCCATCGGTTCATGTCATACCCAGATAATAGCATCCTCATTTTTAAAAAATTTATCCATTTACCACCCACTTGATTTAGAGTTTAGAATAGAGGTAAGAATATGAGTTAATCTAAATCATTTAGATTGGAAAAAAAAACAAGCTTAATTAGGTTGATTTAATTTTATATAACTTGAAAAAATCTCAACTCAACCTAACTTTTAAGGTTGATGAGTTAAGTGAATTAATTAACTAATTCATTTTATTTTATTTTTTAGTAAATTTTAAAATAACACCTAAATAAAAATGATGATGAATTCCTATCTAATATCACTCATTTTTTTTTTAAGTTGCACAAAATATATAAATTGAGCTAATGAGGCCATGCCCATCAATTTATCAAAATTATGGATATACCATAATTCTTATTTTTTTCATTTATTTTTTTATTTTCTTGAAAAAAAATGTGGGTTAAAATACAAGCCCTAATCCATTATAGTTCCCTCATATGGTTCATTGGCTATCCAGGTTGAGTGAGAAAATACTTCTTTTTATTTGATTTTTTTTTCAACTCAATCAAACCCTTATGAATGATTATTTGAACTAACTTATATAACATGATTCATATTTTCTGCTCTATTTTAGAAAGATGGATATCGCCAAAAAAACAAAAACAAAAAGAACAATGGTGGTGCTCAAAAAATTACGGGCCATTATCGTAAAGCTTTATGCTTTATCACTATAATATCAAATATATCACATAATTAGTCATTTGACTGTATTCGAAAAAATATGTGGATGTAAAATCATTCATTGCGTGCATTTTTTTTATTTTATATATTACATGACAATAATTTCAACGTGGCTCCTACTATATGCCAGCCTTACCACGTGGTCAATGTTGCGTGCCCGCTTTTTGTAGATATTGTGCTTTAGCATCTGCGCATTTTCTATCCAAGGGCTGGATCGCTACTTTAAACAATTTATAAAACAGACCACGTTAAATTCTCTCGCATAATTTATTCTACCATTGGATTATTATATTTCGCGAAAATCTAATCATTATTTCTAATAAAACTATACATGCCATGCCATTAAGCTCAATTCAATTACTATTTAGAAATTAGAATGAAGTGGTAGTATGTGGCAAGTGTTCTTGGACCTTAAAAAAGCCAGTTAACAGATTCAATTGAGATTGAATATTGTTAACTTTTCAGGTGGAAAAAATATTGTTTACTCCAACTTTTTTGGTTAGCCGCCGGCTACTTGTGCTCTTCTTTCCAGGAAGTTTAGCTCCCATTATCATGCATTCCTTTCTACTGAGCTGCAAAAACCAAGCCCCAGAAACTCGCTCTTCCTTTCTAATCCTCCGCTAATGGCTTCTCGGAGCTTCTTCCTCCTCCTCCTCTCTTCCTCACCATGACTCTTCAAAGTTCAGTCTCATCCACTGAATTTGTGTACAACAGAGACTTCAATTCCACCAACATAGTCCTCTCCGGCAATGCCACCATCCAAAACTCCATTCTTACTCTTACCAACCAGACCTTCTTCTCCATAGGACGCGCCTTTTACCCTTACAGAATACCCATGAAATCTCCCAACTCTTCCGCTCTTCTTCCCTTTGCAACCTCCTTCATCTTCTCCATTGCTCCCTGTAAGGGCTTCCCCACTGGTCATGGCTTCGCTTTTGTGCTCTCACCTCTAATAGGCATCACTAGGGCAACATCAGGAAACTATCTGGGTATTTTCAATCGCACCGACGACGGTGATTCTTCCAACCATATTTTTGGCATTGAATTCGATGATTTTAGAAACGAAGAATTCAATGATATAAATGATAATCACGTGGGTGTTGATTTGAATTCACTTATTTCCTCGTATTCTCAACCTGCTGAGTTCTGGGATGGAGATCAATTGCAGGAATTGAAAATGGATAGTGGGGAGAACTATCAAGTATGGATTGAGTTTCTGGATTTTCGGCTTAATGTTACCATGGCCCCAGCAGGAAAACGAAAGCCTCAAAAGCCCTTGATTAGTAAGCGCATTAACCTTTCTGATGTTCTGTTTAATGAAATGTATGCTGGGTTCTCTGGAGCAACAGGACGAATGGTAGACATATGTAGAATCTTGGCTTGGAGTTTTAGTAATTCCAACTTTTCAATTGGCGATGCTTTGGTTACAAGGAATTTGCCCTCGTATGTGCATCCAAAGGAACTGATGGTTAGATCAAAAGGTTTCATTGCAGCAGTCACTATGGGCTCCCTGCTTGTAATCTGCTGTTGCTCGTTTGTGTTCTTGAGTTTATCTAAAACCAGAAAGAAAGGGAAAGAGGATGAAGAGAAGAACATTGAAGATTGGGAATTGGAGTATTGGCCACATAGGATTAGCTACCAAGATATTCATGATGCAACGAATGGGTTCTCTGAAGAAAATATGATTGGGAGGGGAACAAGTGGGACGGTATATAAAGGAGTTCTGCAAGGAGTAGAAGTGGCAGTGAAAAGAATCCGTCATGACACCCAGTACGGGATGAGAGAATTTCTGGCTGAGATTTCAAGCCTAGGCAGGATGAAACACAGGAATCTAGTGGGTTTCAGAGGTTGGTGTAAAAGAAAAAGAGGGAACTTGGTTCTGGTTTATGATTATATGGAGAATGGGAGCTTGGACAAGAGGGTTTTTGAGTGTGAGGACAGCATTCTCCTGAGCTGGGAACAACGTAGAAGGGTTTTACAAAACGTAGCTTGTGGGATTTTATACCTACATGAGGGTTGGGAAGTTGAGGTCTTACACAGAGACATCAAAGCAGGCAACGTGCTACTTGATAAAGATATGAATGCTAGATTGGGGGATTTTGGGCTAGCCAGATTGCATTGCCAGGAACAATTGGCTGACACAACAAGAGTGATAGGAACTCTGGGGTACATGGCACCAGAACTAGTTAGAGTTGGGCGACCATCAAAAGCAAGCGATGTGTACGGCTTTGGCATTCTGGTTTTAGAAGTTCTTTGCGGGCGAAGACCTTTTGTGGCAGATAAGCCAGCTTTGATTGACTGGGTTCGGAGCCTAATGGAGAGTGGAAACTTGTGTACTGCTCTTGATGAACGTTTAAAGGCTCAAGGTGGGTTCACCATTGGGGAAGCTGAGAGAATGCTTCATGTGGGTTTGATTTGTGCAAGTTTTGAACCTAAAGTGAGACCAACAATGAGACAGGTGGTGAAAGCGTTGGAGAAAATAAGCGGCGCCGAGTGTGATGAAGAGTGTTTTGATGGGAACTTGCTTGAAAAAATAAACTCAGCAGCAATGTGGTCCAGGCTTCCTTCAAATTCTACTGAAAAAAGCTATCCGACCTTTGAGGAAATTATGCATTCCAAATATTATACCTCAACCACTATAAGCTGTTCTTATCATTCCCTCCCACCATCAGAAACATCCTACGTCTCAGAAGGAAGGTGAAAACTTTTTTAGTTCACCATGTTTTTCTGGGCCTGAATTTTCCTTCACCATGATACTATCCTGAAGGTAATACTCAAAATCACTTCAAAATCATCTAAATATGTCATAGACTCATGGTCGAGGCATCTTAATAGGATCAAAGCCAATGAAACTTCATTCTGTATTGATTTCCCCTCCTCAATGTGTGTAAATACTTTTGAATTCACGATTCAAACAGAAAATTATCACAAACTTAATGTTAATAGCAGAACCTGTGTGACACTCAAGCCTTGTGGTTTTGAATGTGGGAGGAGCAGAACTTAATAACATTCACTGGCACTATAATTGTTGAAACAGAGTGGGGTTGACAATGAAAGTTGTTCAAAGCGGTGATTGGTTTTTGGTGAATTGCTTTAAGATATATCGCAGAAGTGTCTGGAAAATGCGCAAACTTGCATGCATATATTCTTCGACATGGTTTAAAGTTAGAGACATGAGATTTCTTTTTACCACATGGGAAGGGTTCTGACTCCGATGGCTATGAAATCATGAATTTCGTCTCAATCTTAATCCTAAATAATGAGAACTCAAGGGACAGGGCAAACAAACTTCATTTGCAGTTCAAAGTTGTTAAAGAATCGGGTAAGTAAACGCTCAAGCACAAATGAATTACGCCTCAATCTTGGATGAGATAGATAAATAATATAGACATTAAATGCTGAAATAATTAAACGGTCCGATATTCTCAATTACCTACAGAACAGCCTAATCGTTCCACCTTCGGTTCGCCACCTCAACATTTTCTCAATTTCCCTAGTTAAATATGCTCTTACCAATAATGGCTTTTCTTCCTTGTTTTCGCTGTCAAGGGCGCTAACAGCACACATCCATCAGAGTATTTTGGGCTTTTTGAAATTCATCAAGGTAACAAACAACGGTGTTATTGGAATCGAGTTCGATGCAGTTAATAATGATAAATTCAATGATATGAATAACAATTTTCCCATTGATATAAACTCATTTACCTCGTTAGCTTCCCATGATGCTGCGTATCGTGAAGGAGAAGATTTGATCAGTCGAAGTCTCCAGCGCAGGAAGGATAAAACACTGTGTTAAGACAAAGGTCCAGCAGCCCAAAGTTATAAACAAGCCCAATGTAAAACAAATATAATGGGTTCAGTCGTTTGTATTGTATCAGATAGAATAGGCTTCATTTATTTATACTGTACAGCTGTCACTCTGTGGTATAACTTAGGGTTAGTAACCTAGCTATTTAAGTCTGTACAAATCTTAGTCTTTGGGCCATCAATACAATATACAATATTCACTAAAAATTATCTTGATATTAGAGCTTTCTAGGGTTAATCATCATGACTGATTCGTCTTCTTCTGTGTCTACCTAGAACAACTCAGCGAGCTCTTTTCTTGCTGCTACCAACCTTGGTAAAATCAATGGTGCACCTGCGTCTCTCCCTTCTGGTATTGCTGTCAAGTTGGATAGAACCAACTTCATTGTTTGGCAAACTCATGTTATGCCAATCATCAGAGGCTTTAAGCTTGAAGGCTTCTTGAATGAAACAAAACCATGTCCTGTTTAGTTCATTGTTGAGAATGACATCTCTAAACCTAACCCAGAATTTGAAGATTGGGTTTCAGCTGATCAGATTCTCTTTGGCTGGCTCTTAAACACAATGACTCTAGACATCTCTTCTCAAATGACTCATGTTACATCATCTGCTGCATTGTGGAACGCTGCTAAGCATCTAGCTGGAGCTCAAACTAAGGCTAGGGTTCTAATGCTTCGTACTGAACTTCAGCGTACAAGGAAGGGTACCACCACAATGAATGACTACCTTACCAAGATGAAACAGCTTTCTGAGCAACTTCTTATTACCGGCCATCCCATCTCCATGCCTGATCTTATTCTTCAAACCTTGGCTAGACTTGATGCTGAATATAATCCAGTAGTTGTCCAGCTGTCCAAAGAATCTGATGAGATAAGCTGGATTGATTTCCAGACTGAACTTCTTACATTTGAGAGTCGAGTTGAGCAGCTCACTCAAACTACTCAACTTCAAGCATCCCAGCATTTTGCTAACACTGCCATAGCTCAATCCTTTTCTGGTAACTGGCGTGCACGTGGCAGAAGAGGTCGTAGAGGTCGAGGACGTTTTGGTCGTGGAGGTCGTGATTATCACAGAACCTTCCCAGGCAACAACTCAGAACGCCCTCAATGTCAGCTCTGTGATAGGTTTGGTCATCTAGTTGATCAATATTTCTATCGCTATGACAGAAACTTCACTAAGGGAGGAAGCAGTAACAAAAAGAATTAGAATAGTGGAAAGAATTTTTCCACTGACTACAATGCATTCTGGGCTACAGCTGAAACTGTTGAGGATGATTCCTGGTATCTTGACAGTGGGGCCACCAGTCATGTAACCAATGATCTTACCCGTATTGACAATCCTATTGACACAAATGGTAAGATTAGAATCATTACTTATAGTGGACAAAAATTAAATGTTGAGAAAATGGGTTCATCTACTGTGCAAAATGTACCTAATCAGAATATTAAGTTGACAAATATTCTGTTTGCACCAAAAGCTAATAAAAATTTGCTTAGTGTATACAAAGTTGCAGCTGACAATAATGCAGATGTGGTGTTTAATTCAAGTGGTGTTTGTGTTAAGTCTCAGGAAACAGGGGAAATGATGTTGCAAGGGCAACCAACTAGTGGCATGTTTCGAGTTCAAGGAAGAAAGGTTTCAAAAGGTGGCAGCAGAGAAGACTTTATTTTAGCAGTTGAAGAAGTAGATGATACTACTTTGAAAGATAGTTCTAATTATAATTCTAGCAAGAAATTATGGCATTGTAGACTTGGTCACCCAAATGATAGAATTCTAAGCAGAGTTATTAGTGAATGTAATCTGAAAATTACCGAGAAAGATGAACCGTTGTTTTGTGAGTCATGCAAATTTGGAAAGTCTCATTCTCTACCCTTTAAATTGTCTACTTCTCATGCCACTAAGCCTTTCAATCTAATACATACAGATCTGTGGGATCCCTCTCCCCTAGCTTCATTAAATGGTTTTCGGTATTACATACTTTTTCTTGATGATTGTAGTCGCTATACATGGATTTATCCACTCAAAACCAAAGATGAAGCATTACTTATGTTTATTCAGTTTAAAAAAATTTGCTGAAAAATAGTTTGACACTAAAATCAAAGTGGTTCAAAGTGACTAGGGAGGCGAATATTGAAGCTTTACTAAGTTTCTTCATGATTTTGGTATAGTGTTTCGCCACTCATGTCCACACACCTCTGCTCAAAATGGTCGGGTAGAAAGAAAACACAGACACATCATTGAAATTAGTTTGACACTCTTGGCTCAAGCCAAAATGCCACTACACTATTTGTGGGAGGCCTTTCATACTGCTACAGAACTCATAAACAGACTTCCCTCTAATGTTTTAGGGGGTATCTCACCTCATCTCAGACTTTACAGGAAAAATCCAAATTATGAGAATCTAAAGGTGTTTGGTTTAGCATGTTATCCCTATTTAAGGCCCTACAATCAACATAAGTTACAATTTAGATCTACAAGATGTGTTTTTCTGGGGTACAACAACTCTCACAAAGGGTTTAAATATCTTACATCCACAGGGAAGATAATTATTTCTAGACATGTAATTTTTAATAAAACTGATTTTCCTTTTGAATCAGGTTTTATTAACAAAAGAGCCTCACCTCAAGATCAAGTGGATCCCAGTGTTTTCTTTGCACCACTCAGTACTTTCCATTCCAGTGATTGCTCAAGCTCAACCATTTCTACAGGAAATCAGTCTGCTTCTTCTGAACCCGCACAAATCAATACTCCAGGTTCATCATCAACTGATCCAGGGTCACCTTTTGTATCTTCATCAGATTAATCTCCTACTCGTTCTCTATCTACATCCACAAATACATCTCAAAGTCTGAGTAACTTATAAAGTCAAGAGCAGAATCATGAAAATCCAGCTTCCAATTCAAAGAACACAAAACAATCATGTGATAATAATCAGAGAGGAAATTAACATCATATGGTCACAAGAAGTAGAGCCGGGAATAAGGGCTGGGCCTGGAGGGCCGGGCCTGAAAGCCCTATTTAAATAAGGATTCGGGCTTTGAAAATATTTTTTTTTAAAGTAATCGGGCTTGAGAGCTTGGCCCTGATAAGCCCTGTAAAATAAGACTCGGGCCCGGGCTGCCCTTCAAGCCCTGTTATATTATTTTTATTATTATTATTTTTAGTAAAACACGTGTTTGAAATCAATGACCTGCTCACCTGATCCTATACACATTATATTATTATTAATTTTAATTTATTCTAAAATTAATTTAATATAATTTAATAAATATCAGTGTATAATATAAAATTTATGATATTTTTTATTTTTCTATAATTATTATGTTTGTATATTTATAAAAAAATGAACTATTTTTTAAATGATTTAAATTTTATTACTAGACTTCTAATGTATGTTATTTAATTTCTAAAAAATTATGATGATTTTAATTTTTTTTAATTTTAAAATATTTTAATTTATTTATAATGTTTAATTTTATTTTAATTTTTTTATTTTTAAAAAAGGGCTTACGGGCCTGGCCCTGAGCCCTAAGTATAAGGGCTGGGCTTGAGAAATGGAGGTTAAAATGGGAAACCGGGCTTTAGGGCTCAGGCCCTTAAGGGCCGGGCCCGCCCGTATTCTCAGCTCTAATAAGAAGCAAAGCAGGAATTCACAAGCCCAGGGTTCCTTATATTGGTTTAGCACAGGATGTTTCTATACACATGACAGAACCACAGACTACTAGAGAGGCTCTAAAATACACAGAGTGGAAAGATGCAATGGTTGAAGAATATAAAGCTTTAATGAAAAATGGTACGTGGGTGTTGGTTCCCTTTTCTGGTCAAAATATTGTAGATTGCAAATGGGTTTTCAAAAATAAATTCAATTCAGAAGGCTCGCTGCAGAAAAGGAAGGCCCGACTTGTAGCCAAAGGCTTTCAACAAAGTTCAGGCATTGATTATGATGAGACCTTTAGTCCTGTCTTGAAGGCTACAACTTTGAGATTTATACTCATTACAGCTGTGACTTTCACTTGGCCTATAAGGCAACTTGATATCAACAATGCCTTTCTGAA